GTTCCCCCATTTTACTTGTACAAATTTTACTTGTACAACAACTAATCTCATTCAAATCCAAAGGGGGCTATAATACCTCGTCTTCACTCTTTATTTCAGATCGAAACCAAAAGGTCTTTTAGATTGAAGTCAGAGAAAAAAGTAAATGTAGTCCACTTCTCACTAGTAAATGACTCAAGTCCCTTCACCTGCACGTCAGATAAAAAGATTTATGCACCGCAGCAACACCTTACCGAATAATATACGATTGGTGAGAGCTGTGTGTATATGATCAAGCAAAGACTGTAAAACTACCTCAGCATATGAAAAGAAAAGAAGAAAAGAAAATTATTGACTTCAACTAAATAGCAACTTGCGACGTTTGATGGGCTGCGAGTTGCCATTGGAAGTGCCATGTGGCGGTAAATGATACAAAGCCCGCCTTCTTGCTTTCTTCCGGTACAACAAGTCTTCTGTTCCCAAAACATACGCAACCTGACATATTTCAAGAGTAAAAACGAAAAAGGGCACAAATGTCAGTTACATTAAGGTTTATTACAATACCCTTAAGGAATGTTTGTATACAAATATATCCACTCAAAAGCTTTTATGGTTAACCATGGTTAATTTTGAAAAAAGTGGTAAGGTTACTTGTTAGTAGAATTTTGAGTTTATATAAAATAATATTTAAAATAAAATATTTAAAGTTGATTTGATTTAAAAGTATGAGAGAGATGATATGAAATGATAGTTAGTTAAAATTATGTGAGTTGATGAATAATGAATTAAAGTTGGTGTGATGTGTAAGAATGATTAGTTGATATTATTTAATTATATTGATAATATTGAGGATAGTGGAATTGGGTTATAGTTGAGTTAGATTTTGAGTATGAATTGAGTATGGATTGAGTTATTTTATATACAAAGACACCCTTAAAGTTTTAGCCTATCTATAAATTATCTCCAATTTACAAATATCACCTTGGTATATGCTCTTTTTTTTTTCACATTGCACACCGGATAGGGGTAGGGATATTTGACGTATAGAAAGAGATTTATTGTTATTGTTTTGTTTAATTAAGTCGAGTTCATGAGTTTTTTCGTAATCATCGCATTGTAAATAGTAAATACGCTAATTCAGCAGAATTTACCTTCTTTGTGACGCTGTTCACTTTCAGTTCCACACCACTGTAAACTACAAGTCCTTCCATGGCTTTCTCAAAATCAGAAATTTCATCTCCATTATAGATTTTCATTTTGTTCCTGAAAATCGATCCATAATTATGAACATATATACACATATCACACATCAAATAGTTTACCGCAACTTTGGTCACATAGATAGATACCTTTTCAAGTACACCCCAGGTTTTCCCATTCTTTCCGGGACAACCACGAGTAGTTCATTTTTCAAATAAGCTGCGAATTCAGGATCCATGGAGACGGCTATTGGTTCAAACTTATCACTTTCATTTCTCATCAATTGAATAGTCAGACGCGTTGGACAAGGCAACTGCAATAATAATAGTTCACGCTCATATGTTAGGCCTATTTTGTTGGGCAGAATGAAAAAGTTATAACCTCCCAATGATGAAAAAACAAAAAATGTATTACACATTCTATTCGGTACAAGTTGTCGTCGGGGAGAAGAAAACGGGCGTTCACATGGTAAACTTCATCAGAGAATATCTTAGCATTTCTAGATCTCTCATATGTGTAGAGTTGGAGGAGTTTGTTATCAATCTCTTCTGATGCAATATTTTGTAGCTGGTGGAAATAACAGGGGTAGATAAATCAGTCAGACAAACTTCCAGGAAAAAAAAAAAAAAAAAAACTGAAAGTACCCAAAGAGGAAAACTGATATAAAAAATAATGCATTGACCTGTTTGACAAGTTTATGAATCAGCTTGTCCAATGTGAAAAGGACATAAGACTGAGCGCCAATTATGGCTCGGCACTCATCCTCAAACTTAGCATTATCAAAGGATCCATTCAGCAAACTGCGAAGAGCATTCTTAAAGCTGTTGCAAAATCACATGTTCTTTTCAAGTTAATCATTATTGTTTAATCGTGCATCACCGAAAATAAAACCTTAAAAACCAGGGCATATGGATAAATTACCCTGCGTATGTATCTGTTGGATTAGCACCATTTGAAATTCTCCATCTGTTTTCAGATGACGAGGAATGCAACTTTGCACTCAGCATTCTGTCGTATAACATCTGTCAAATAAGAACAGTGAGCTAAGACAGGGAATTAATTAATGAGCCAATTACAGAAAATACGATTCAAGTTGGGCAAAAAAATTAACAATATAAAATAAAAATGCCCGAGCCATCTTTTGAAATTTACAATGAAGTCCCTTGATACTCTTTTCAGTTGAAAACATCACATTTTCAATATGGATATTAAGAAAATCAAATCCTAAAAGGTGCGTTTGAAATACCTTGAGCAATCTTTTGAAATTTACAACGAAGTCCCTTGATACTCTTTTCAGTTGAACATATCACATTTTCAATATGGATGTTAAGAAAATAAAATCCTAAAAAAGGCGCGTTGAAATACCTTGAGCGGGGAACTTCCGTAATTTGAAATTTAATTGAGTTCCCTTCTCACTATTATGCCAAATTAAATTGGAGTTTAGATTTTAAGTCAGTCCTATAACTTTCAGACGGCAGCAAAATTGTTCCATAAAAAATATACACACTGCATACAAAGTCCTGTAACTATATAAACATCTTAAGATCTTTTGCCCAGTAAAATGCACAATTTGCAAGGTAGTCCTATTAATGACAGGAAATCCTCAAAACGGTCTTGGCAGGCATGTGCACAATTCCCAATTGGCGATCTCTCATCAAATTACGATAAAAATTAAAATTTGGACAGAGTTACAGGACTCCAACAAACTGTGCCATCCTAAAACCAAAGCAACGAAAATGTCCAAAGTTGGCACACCAACAACTCCAATCACATACACCAGGCTATTACCCAAACAATAATGGTGTGTTTGTATACGAAAATATTCAATCCATACTCAATTCATACTCAAAATCTAACTCAACTTTAACCCAACTCCACTAACCTCAATATTATCAATATAATTAAACAATGCCAACCAATCATTCTTACATATCACGTCAACTTTAATTTACTATTCATCAACTCACATAATTTTAACTAACAATCACTCCACACTTCTCTCTCTTACTTTTACATCAAATCAACTTTAATTACTTTATTTTAAATATTATTTTAATATAAAATCAAAATCCCACTAACAACTAACCATACCACCTTTTTTTTCAAAATTAACCAAAAAAACTCATTTTGAGCGGATATTTTTTATATATACAGACACGCCGTAAACAACCTTTGATCCAAAATTAATAATAACAAATTATAATTANAAGATAACAATTCATTGCTCACACTAACCTGGTGAAGCCGAAAGAGCAGATAGAAAGAGTCATTCCCATAGAACACCCCACGACACTCCTCCCCTCCACGCGAACCCTTTGGGAGTCTAACTGCCAAAGGCGCCGCCCCTTCGACCTCGACTTCACTCTCGTCATCATTGGCGTGAGGCGAGCACTCGTCCCCATTGGCCGAATCGCTTCCGGAGACATCTTCCACATTTTCGGACGCAACATTCTCGCTGTCCGACAAGGCCCGCGGGCTCTCCTCACATTCTTCATCAGCAACAACAATTGTCTTTTCCTCTTTGGTACCATTATCTGCAGGTAATGGGAAATCGAGCTCCTCGGAATTTCGATTTGGGGAGAGTTCGCCCTCTTCCCGCTCGTTTTTGGTGCAGTCTTGGGATTCTTCATGGTGTTTCTTGACACCTTCCTGCAAATGAATAACAGGGATTGCAAGAAAGGGGGTGACCGTCTTTGCAAATATAATCTCACATCAGATGGAAGGACGTGTATATATATGTGTGTGTGTGTGTGTGCGTGTGTGTAAATATAATATCACATCAAATATAATCTCACTCCTGACATACCAGGGGTCCTGGACCAGGTGTTGGTAAAATGCCGCAAGCAGCAACAGCATAATCAGGTCCTGATAGAGGAGCAATAGATAGTGGTATAAATATAACTAAGGTAAAAGTATAAAAGTAAACTATGATGAAATAGCTAGATGCGGAAAGACCTCTCTTTCAAGAATTACTTTGTACATAACAATTTTATAGGGGTGTTTTTTAACACTTTTAAGGATACATTTGTAACCTTGGCAGATAATAGGAGTTTTTGGTATTTTTATTAAACAGTATTCTTTTTTCTTTTCATAATTTTCCAAAAACAAGTACGGATTTACCCTTCAATGCAACCGAAGGATCTTCCTCCTTGATGCCCTTCACTCCCAAATAGGAGTTTTTGGTATTTTTATTAAACAGTATTCTTTTTTCTTTTCATAATTTTCCAAAAACAAGTACGGATTTACCCTTCAATGCAACCGAAGGATCTTCCTCCTTGATGCCCTTCACTCCCAGAGAACTTGAAGTTCCTTCATCTAAGAAACTGGCTTGTTTGCTAGCAGACATCATTTTGGCATCAATCTGCATTTCTCCATCTTCGGGAGCATCATATAACACAGCACCCATGTTACCAAAATTATCAACACCAGTAGATCCATCAGCAGGGTTATTATTATTCACTTCACCAATATTTTCCACACTTTTGTCAACAAGACAATTTTCGTTATCAGCAACTTCTTTGTCCTCAGTGGAGGAAGAATGAGAAGGAACACCCATCACTTGCTCGAGGAAAGTTGTCCACACCTTCATGACCTTGTCCCGCTGTTCGGGGCCGCAAAGTTCCCCGCATGAATACTTCATCAACTGATGAAGATCTTCTTGGATTTCCGGATCAGGATATTCGAATACCATATCAGGTTTAATTGGCTGTTTATAACCAGCAGCAATCGAGGCAAGGAGGCTTTCATCTTCATTCTGATTCCTGTCCCCCATTTCTTTTATCTCAGCAAGCAATGCTGAAACAATGAAATTGTAACAGAAAATACACGATCAGTGGGACTTTCTTTTTGTACGGATAGTATGAGAAACCAAGCTGATATATTTATGTATATATTAGACACAATCTGTTCTCATGTTAGGGAGATTTAAAAATTTGGACCAACATGACAGCGCTTTAATGAATTGGATTTAGGATGTCATAAATAAAAAACGACAGCTAAGATGCTACGCAATCTATAATGATATAGAATTAATTTAATAGGCCTACATTACTCTTATGCGGACACGTGTCAAACCATAAATAACATTCGAGTCATAACGAATTCCAATAGATNAATATCAGTAGCTTTATATACGAAAGCGCCAAGGAGTGCCAAATTGGAATGTGGGCATATATGAAGAGAAAACACAGCAATTAGAGAAATAACAATGAGCTATAGACTGAAAGAGAAATGCAAAATAATGTTGTCTCTTTCCTACATGTTGAAAGCAACTTCTTGATGCAAAATATTATATATATGTAAACATTTTAAAATTTTCAAACAAGGATCACAATCATTAACAAATGCAACTCAATCCAATCATTCAAAAGCCGTTTAAAAATAAGTTCTACCAGGGTCTAACCAAAATATCAGTAGACTTTTTAACATCCATGAGTCGCATCATAGCATACATGTGAACAAATGCCTAACACACATTTCTGATTAAATATGTAAGTTAATAAGGGGAAAAAAATGAATGCAAGCCTAATCCACATCATGATCTTATAATGAATGCATGATTACAATTGCAATATCCGAATATAAAATCACCAAAAGCTGCACAAAATTTATGGTCGAAATAATACTTTACTTTTGATTCGTTCGACTGTCTAAACTCTGAACTAAATTTATTACTAAATTATTATCTTAGAAAATCAAATGGGCAATAATCATCCCCCAAAAGAAGCAACATCATAGTAAACTTCGATTCCATCCAAGTAATTTAATTCGGTGATAGCGATTTTAAAAAAGAAAATCCTTCAACTAATAATTTGGAAAAGGTTCTCGGTTTAAAACTAAAAGAAAATGTTGCATGAATTCGCGACTAAATCCAAAAGAGGAAACGACTGGAAGATTAAATGTACCATAGATACCTGAATCACAGAAATTAGTGCTGAGGAATGATGTTGCCATGAAACAATGGCAGAAGGTAGGATAAGAAGAAGATTGAAAGATATGCTAGAGAAAGTAGAGGGTAGTTGAAGAATAATGAAGCGATGAAAACAAGGACCGAAGGTGAAATTTATTGAACAAAGTTATGGAAAGCGACAAACTAAAATATAGTGTAACTGCAATCCAAAAAGATGAAATATAATTAATATCTAAAAAACAAAAGGGGAAGAAAAGTGAAAACATATTCGAGTTGGCTATGTCATGGAGAAGCGAGTCGCGCTAAATATCCTCACCAAACAATATATTTACCAACAATGGACACTTAACTCCTTTAAACACAAAACGCAAACCCGGTAAGTCTGGCCGAATTTCAGACTGATGGAGAATTGACTCCAANAACAACCAAAAAAAAAAAAATAGAAAAAAAAGAAACTCACACGGCATTAGATTGATGAATATGCTCAAGGGATGCCAGAAATTTCAAAACTTCTTAAAATACGAAATAGAATTTTCATAAGGAAACAAAAAATGTCCCAGTGACGCACACCTACAAAAGCAAGGCAATCTTATAGGTTGCATAGAAAAGCACGCATAAAGGACAATTTGCACAAGATGCTGCCAATTTTCTAAAGCAACATACTCTACCTTGAAAAGGGATATCTTCATTCACCAATTTTATATGCCATTCATGGAGACACAAATTTACACATCATTATATTGGTCTTGTATAGTATCAATTTTCCCGACTAAGTAGGTTTCCAGGTTCAGTCAAAGGGGGCACCATATTGCACAACAAATTAAGTTAATCATAGGGCGGGTTAGTCCAGAGTCCATGTAACAAATTCCATGCCTAAGCTCAGTACGCAAGCAATCTTACAAAGAGAAATGCCTTGTGTGTTCTCTGCATGATAACTTATCCGATAAGCTTCACCATCAATAAACACTAAACTTCCAGCTAGCACAATGGACAAGCTGATAAAAGTGAATTTGACCAAATCTACAGCTGATAAACAATAATCTCTTAGAAATAACAAGGAATCAGAAGCTACAAATGACATACACATAAATGACACCACACAAAACTATTATAAGTCCTTAAAGACACAGAACATCTTGCAAGCATAAAACACACATAGATAGACCGTCACTCCTTATATTAGTAAGGGAAAAGCATGTAGAGATTTCAATCTGCATATGATTACATTCAAACGAAAAAGCACATGCAATTTTCTGCACCATGCATAGACTACATACATTGAAAAAACAATCTTCAGTATTGCAATCTCTTATTCCAGTTGCTGTAAAAGGTCTCTCTGTTCAAGAGGCAGAGAGTTTAGAAGACTCTCAGTTCTTAGTGTTGTGGTTCACATTGATTACATTAGTTATAACTATTCAACAGTTCGAGAATGTTAAAAACGATAACAAATACATTGGCACAGGAACCATGTTAAACATGATCAGCCCAATTACCTTTAGCGCTCAAGTTCTTTGTATCCTGCTGCTTAAAATAGAAGCTCCTATGATCGAGTGATTTATGATAGTTCTTAGCATAAATATCAGCCCAAACTTTATTAAAATCAGCACGACACCTTGCCCATTCTTCCTGCTTCTGCTTCAACCTAGTTAAAATGACTGGCAGGGCTAGAGGTGCATTCTTCCTCAATACATCCATCACATCAAGCCCATGGTCACCATATAAACGCTCAATACATCGTAAGCTAAGGGCTGCAAAAAAATTAAAAGTAAAAATAAATACACTATTAACTAGACAGCAGGATATATACAATGAGGATTGAGGAAGCATCAGAAACACAGTATACCTGACAAACATTCTTCAATATTAAAACTGTCTGCCTTAGTAGTATGAGCATTCATTCTGTCCAACAGTTCCTCAACATGCTTAACTGTCGCATTCACAGATTCCAACAGCATGTCAAGTTCAAACCTGAAATCACAATCAGATCATTGATTGGCAATTCTAATGTATAGAAATACCATATAAACCCCATTTAGTATCCACTTATTAGGGGAAAAAAGAAAATGGAGGAAAGAAGCTTCTTTGCAACCTACTGACTAACCATGGGGAAAATAATATTTAATGATAAGTCGTCAAAGTAAGTATCAAATGACAAAGTTTAATAACTTACCCTAAAGATGGTAGAAACAACACATACAAGTAAGAGAGAGATAAAAGTAGATGGGAGCCCATTCAGAAAAAAATATTAAGCCTATGAAGAGAAATTCTTGAGAGCGACTTTACCGGTCATCCTCACACCGGAACAGACTTTCTTCATATTGATTTTTGCGCATGTGTTTGAATGAGTAATCCTCACTTCCTGAAGTAACCGACACCCAACGATCATTCAGCACTTGGTTGCCAATCTCTGTTCTACAGCTTGCTGATGGGATCGGATACTGAGTATAACATTGAAAACTGGAGTTAGTAAAACGTTTATTAATTTTAGTTTATCGAAAGTTAAATAAGTGAACCTACATTTTCTGGTAGAAGCCGATAACTTGGAGTGCAGTTCTCGCGGTCCGAGAGATCAAGTTCATGAATGGGTTTCGCCATAGACTTATCTTTGCTTGCATATGAAATCTTCTGTCCTGCGATATCCCTAGAGTTAAAGGCAAGACCTCTATCATGTCTATCCCTTTCTCTGTTATCATTGTCTTTAGTTTTATCTTTGTCTTCCCTATCATGGTCATCTTCATCTTCATCTACCTTTAATGATCTGAAAACGTGTTTATTGGTCCGCAAGCTACCTGAATGACATAAATAAAGCATAAGAGAGAACTGTTCGTATTTTAAATGACTATTCTTTTCTAATACTCTCCATAAAAAAGATGGAAATAAATTCTCATGCTGGAAAATACTTGAAAAGTTAACAAAATTCAACACTGGCAACTTGAATAGCTAGTCGGGCACACTGGTACCTTGAATAGCTAATTGGGCAGGCAATTATATCAATACGAGTATGAAGCACTAAAATAAGCTAAGGGGTCGTCCGGTTACCAGACTTCTCAATGTATGTTATGAAATCTTCACATGCCTCCATAAGGTCTGGATATTCTCCAATTAAACTAGCCACCTGAAAAAATAAAATTCAGCATCCAAATTAGATGCTCTTCCAAAAAAATGGTATATAAAAACAAAAGGGCAGCCTAACTGGCCAGAACTTTTTCCAATCCTTATCTTGACTTACAATAACAAAGACCTCATTCCGAAATTCTTAATGAGAGGTCAAGTTTATAGGTTTTAGGTTTTCTCCATCAGTACTAACTACTAAGCACGAAGAATTCCCATTGGATGGGAATTCGACTATGGACCATTAGAGATGTATGGAAATGATCATTAAGCGATAATAGGAAGCATAACATAACCCTGATAATGAGGAAAAATAGAATGTCATTATCAGGATAAGTTATTATGAACCATGCATTCGATAAAGTAAAACTTTCTAGTACATGTAACACGCACGACATTTTTTATCATGGATTTTGACTTAATACATGAAAATCATAAGCCCCTCTTTTATCAAATATTGCATCAATAGACTTCAGTGAATACTGTTTTATAGCTAACATATCACAAATTTTATATGGTAATTCCAGAAATGCCATTGTCCTTACAAGACAACTGATGTGTCAGGGGTTCATGATGAACTGACATATTTCCAAGTTTTCGTATGAACATACTGAATTTTTGCAGTATGTATTCAACATTAACACTAAGATTTTTTATAAGAGGACTCGTTTTCATTATTCAAGTGTATGCTTGAATTTGATCCCATATTGAAATTTTTTAGACCTATAAAACATTCTGCAATTTTTTTAGAAAATATTGCAGTAATTATACTATTCACTGACCTTTAATTTTTTCTGTAACAAATTACTCCGACTCATTTTCAAACTAATATCATTACAGAGGCAATCTTTGTTATACATTTTCCATAACTTTCACTATTCACTTACATATGTATCACATCAACTTTGATCATGACACTTCATCCTCATATCCATATTCAAAATTTTCCATTTTGATTTGAAAGAGTTTTTCAACACTATTATCTTTCCAAATGAAAATTCTTAAAACTACATGGTATCCAAGTGCACCCTAAGTATCTGGATATTTGACCATTCTCTATACTTTTCATATGGAAACAGACAAGGTGAAAAAGACTTCGAGGTACGAAAAGCCAAGAGCAAAAGTTCATTCACAGATGGTTGCAAAGAGAGAGACTTCTGAAAACAACGGCACAGTCTAGAAAATAATTTTTACATGCAAAAGTGATAGAAGCAAATGGGTCACCTTTGATAAAGAAAAATATAAGGAAGGGAAGAGAAAGCAACTTTTGTTTAAAAAAAAAACAAGGGGACCAAGGCTTATGGCTTCCTAGTAGAATATCAGTGTCCTGGACCACGTAGCACGGAAGTGGTAATACCAATATATAAAATTACCCAAGTAAGACGATGAGAGAATGGTATAACATTAATTCAACAAAAGTAGAATTTATAAGTTGGAAACAAAATAAACAGATTTCAAGATAACCTGAGAAAAGGATTACCAGCTTCCGAAACTCAGCGGCTGGGACAAACTTGCTTTTAAAAGAACAGATGCAATCTGAAACTTTTTCGTAATTTTCAGCTGCCTGTAACCGTTCCTTCACTTTCTCACGGAAAGTGGATTCCATCTNAGGAGTTAATGTCTTTCTTTGGTCATATCATGCCAAAGGAGCAAATCATGTAGCCTTGTGACCATATACAATATTTAGCAAGAGAATCTGAAGATAGAATATGATCTTCAAGTCATACTCATTCATATATTCTTTTAACAGTCATCATGATTTGAAGTTGCATACAATTCTCTTAGCATCTTTGCCCTACCTCTGTGTAACTGGTCGGATGCGTGACCATCCTGTCGAGCATGATTTTTTTTGTGATCTAAGCCGTCATCATTCTCCCACTCATTTATGTCTCTTTCTTCTCGTTTCCCCTTTTCTTTTTCGACCTGATTCCACTGCTCTGTATCAGGTTGATTGTTATAACGTTCACCAACAGCATATGAAACAGCAGGTTTCTGGAATAAGCAAGCACAGGCATTATACGTTAGCAGTAAGAAACAATAACCATTATATCACGCACTAGATAGACTACCTTTTCAACATGATTAGTCCTTGTTAGTGCCGCTGTGGAGACAACACCCGAAGTATCAGGTAGAAAATGAGTGAACTCGACAAGTAGATCAGCATGGTTCTGGAAAAGAACTGAAACCTACAAACAAATTTAAACAAGCAAACAGTTCAATTATATTTTGTTGAGATTATAACACTAGGAGTATAGTACACACAATCACAACTCTTGAGGTTTGGCCAAATTACAAGGAATCCCAGTTAACTGAAAATTACAAAAAACAGCATTGAGGTTAGATGTCACATATTTTTACTGCACTAACCCAACCTCAAGGATAGATTTGCAATTGTTCTATAGTAATAACCAAAAAAAGGAAAGAAAAAAAATCCAATAACACTAGCATAGAAGCATACCTCCTGATAAACCTCTGTTATAGATTTATTATCTTTTCTGTACAGGTTCAAAATGTCAAGGAATGCTTTGTACACATGATCGTCTCCTTGAAATCTAGTCTGCAATTATTTTTCAACTGGTCAGTATATAATATACTAATGGATGCGGAGAGCATAGAGATTTCTAGAGCATGATCATAAAGCAATCGCACCTTGATTTTGTTAACAAAACTGATTGCTTCTTCAAATTCTACGGGTTTCTTCCTCAGATCATCATCGAGTGGGAGGGTGATTTCGTACCCCTTTGGTAAAAAGGTATTGAAGCCCAGAATTAGGTCTCTGTAACCTTTAAATAACTCCTTCACTCTCGTTATAACACCAGTCGTATCAATTCTACAAAAAATAAAATAGAGCGCCCAACATTAGAATAACAGAAATCGAGTCAAATATAGAGGGAGAAACTGCAGTTAAAGGGGAAAAAAGAAGAACAGCTATCCACCTTTGAGCTTTAAAATCTTTCATGACATCGAGAAACTCGTCATATTTATCCCTTTTATCTTGAAATATTTCTTTCACAGTTTTGAGATATGACAAGGCATCAGTTGTTGTCAACCTCTGCATGCTGCTTGCAGTCGACATGTGGACTTGTCCAGACCTTCATTAGCCACCAGTTTGCATAATTCAAATCAATAAGGAGCAGACACAACTAATCATACAATTCTCAAGAAAATGGAGCAATTCCAGTCCACATATTATACCAAAACAAATCATCATGTGGAGCTTCAATAATAATGGAAAGAAATTGATGCTTGACATTCAAGGTCAAACCTTTCCAGACAATCGGAACAACAGAACAAAAATACTTCACATATTCTTTTACTGTTTATTATAGAAAATGTTAATTGCAGCAGACCATCTACTGAAAAGAAAGAATCGCCCGTGAAAACCTGATTCATGTATCCATTGACAAATGATTGAAACCGGGAAAAGTTTCAGAACTGGAAAACACATACAAAAACAGCATTAAAAACACAATTTTTTCAGATAATATGATAGTAGAAAACACGCAAGCTGGTGATTAACAAGATCGTCCAAACAAACAAATGTCACAGATGAGTAAAAGCAAACAAATGTTAAAGATGAATAAAACACAATAATTTCATTTGTTAACCTCCAAAGACAAGATAAAACTAATTACACCATAGAACTACATTAGATAAGAAAAGATTAAAAAAAAAAAAAAAAAAATAT